ATAGATAGATAGATAGATAGATAGATAGATAGATAGATAGATAGATAGATAGATATTCTGAGACAGTTCGGCATATTTTTATTCTCAAATTACTCTGGGTAATATGCATTTACGGTCTTAGAGGAAAATGTGGGAAGTGATTTTATGGAAATAAGGTAGATTCAGTGTCATACATAGAATTGTATTATTCCTGGCCATCAAACTTCAGACAAAGTATAGTTAAACTGTTGTTACAGCACTTATTCATTGGAACAGAGAGGATCCTGGAATGAAGTTGCTCTTTGGTTCCTTTTTTCCCATTGTGAATGCTTGAGTTTTGGACATTATTAATTTATGTGACTGTTCTGTTGTTTTTGTGGGTTTGTTGCAGCTATTCCCAATGGCTTTGGTACCAGCCCGCTTACTCCATCTGCCCGAATATCTGCTCTCAACATTGTTGGTGATCTTCTAAGGAAAGTGGGGGTAAGAGCCATGCCCTGCATCATGCTGTCTGTCATTCAGTGCATTTTCTCACATGCATTGAAATCAGTTGAAACTCAAGTTGGTTTTATTTCATCACCATAAACAAACGTTACTATGCTATTACAATACTAAGGAGAATTGAACCCATTAGGGCTTATTTTAGACAAATATGGAATTGTGTTGTTTGTGTAGGCTGAGTAACTCACATGAAGCAGAAAATGTGCATATACAAAGGAGGGAGGGATCACGTATTTGGATTTCCCTCTGTTTGGGAAGAGCTGGCCAGGGAATCGAAAATGACCCGCTAGATCAATAGCTCTGTGCTTTCATGTAGGGAGAAATGACAATAAAATTCTAGCATAGTAAGATTAATATCATTTACAGAGTTCTGGATCTTGAACCTTAGCTTTTACTTATTGTTTAAAAAAACTTCATGCCTGTGTTAAAAGATGAATACTAGGTACATAGTGCATGGAATTTTAGAAATCTCAGATCTTGGAGTCAGTGAAGAGAATCGTCCAAAAGTAACCTCAGCATAATTTATTGAGTTTTGACTCTCATTTTGTCTTACCAGTATATTATGGTTGTGTGCATATTTTTTCAACACTCCCAATTCCTGTTCTGCAAATACTTGTACAATATACCTTTAACCAGCTATTACAGTTTTTCCAAGATATTTTCTTAAAGTATGCAAATTGCAAGTTCCACTACTAATCTATAGATGTTGAGTGATAGTTAATGACTGGTCGTTGTTTTAGAGAATTGCTATCTGGCAGAATATTTGAAAGCCAGTTTTCTTTTAAACTCAGTTCTCCCCCCCCCCCCCCAAAAAAAAACCCTTATATAGAGAGCAACTTGTATTTGTTTGCAAATAGTTTTGCTCCAAGTCATTCTTTAAACTTTTCATTGTGATGAGGCTGCTGCTGATTCTACTTTCTCTAATCTTTCACCTAGGCTGATAATGTGTTCTGTTTTTTCATTCCTTCTTAGGCTTTGGAATCCAAATTAGCTGCTTGTAGAAACTTTGCAAAGGACCAGGCATCACGTAAATCATATGTTGCAGGAAACATAAATAGCAGTATGATCAACAGCAATGGCATGAAATTCTGTCATCCAGGGCATACAACATTTTATGACAAAGCGTAAGTTTTTGTTTTTGCATGGAGTTTTAGAGAGTTGTTTTGCACAAGGTTTTTCCACTCTTTGATCCAAAAACATTTTTTTTTTTTTTTGGTACCTGTGAGTCAATTTTGACTCCTGGCAACTGCAAGGAGTCACCTCCTTGGCAAGATTTTCAGAAGTGGTTTGCCATTGCCTCCTTCCAAGGGCTGAGAGAGAGTGACTGGCCCAAAGTTACCCAGTTGGCTTTGTGCCTAAAGTGGGACTAGAACTCATGGTCTCCCAGTTTCTAGCCTGATGCCTTAACCACTACACCAAACGGGCTATCTTTCTTTTAGGTATAGGTTAAAATTTTGGGGAAGTATATAGCTTGTTAATCTTTTCCTTATGAACAGAAGATGGGAATTTGTATATCTTCCAACTTGGCAACATTGCAAGAAAGCTGAAAGAGAGCCCAAAACAACTTATATTGTGACTTTGAGCATTTTGCCTGGATGGGAAAAATGTTCCTAACAGTAAGAGTCATCTCATATAAAGAGAAATCAAAATTGCTTGACTTACTGTTATTTTATGTTTGGCTTCAAAGTATAAGTAAGATTAAAAGTGAATAACTCTGAAGTCTTCAACTGCCATCAATTAAACTTGGGAAATACTGTTTTCATCTTCCCAAGAAATATATAATTAGCTATTAGGCCTAGACAATTAACTTTCTTTATTCGAACTGATGGTTTCCTATATCTGCATTTTATGATTCTTAACTTTAGTATTAGTATTTCTGAAATAAACTTATTGAAAAGTTTTTAGCTTTGGATGATCCCCAACATGGGTAACTAGAAATAATATAAATATCAAAATATACGTGTCTTATGATGGTTTCCTATATCTGCATTTTATGATTCTTAACTTTAGTATTAGTATTTCTGAAATAAACTTATTGAAAAGTTTTTAGCTTTGGATGATCCCCAACATGGGTAACTAGAAATAATATAAATATCAAAATATACGTGTCTTATGAATATTAATTAGGAGTAAAGTATAAATATAATATACTTTAGTATTAAATATAGCAATAGGAACAAGCAAATAGTTGAGTGAAGGGAATAAAAAATGCACATCAGATAAGAGATTCCATTGTCCTTTCATTTCTTCAGGAGAGTTTCATGGTTTTGATGGTACTGCAAATATGGCCCAGACTGATGCTACCCCTCACAACTATTCTTCAAATTATGGGTTTCATTACTTCTTAAAGACTAAGTTGGTACTTAAAGTACCCTGGGTTAATAACATTTAGAGTTTAATGCCTAAACAGGTGCTTTACATTTGACCAAAGAATAAACTAAAAATCAGCCAAGAAAGTTGCTGCAAAATTGGAGTGCAGCCTGAATCTGCAGTTGCAAGTATTTTTTAAAGGTAGTCCCTCACAGACTTCATAAAAGCAGTAACCTTGGCATGAATGTCTGCCTAGGGCCAAGGAATAATAAATCCATATTAGAAATTGACCTCTTCAAAATTTTGGAAGGAAGAATTTGGGTAGAAGCCTCTATAGGCTCCTTTTATGCCTAGCCAAATGTTTTCTGTGCAACTTGCAGAACAAGGATGTGTCCTGGCAATTTGCACACAGGCAGGATAGAAGTGGTTTACTCATATGCTTAACTGTTAAAGTCAATACCAAGCCGAGCAATTCAAACCAGCAGAGTTTGCAATCTTGAATTTTGAAGCAAGCTTTTTTAAAACCAAAAACCAAAAAAGCTTTGTTTTCTTGAACCATGATATGAACAATAAATAGATTATAAGCTAGGAAAAGGTCACTCGTATCGGTGAGTCCTAAAACCTGTTTGCTGGATTGACTTGTTTCATATAATCAGAATTGTGCAACGCACAATGGATGCATCAGAAGCATTCAAAACATAGATGTATTTCATATTGCTCCTTTGTGCAGCTCTGTCCCCTTTTATTTAATCATCCTTTCTCTTCATTCTGCATAAAGATCCATTTATTTTCATGACTCTTATGCTTTCCACAATGCTGATTAGTCTGGCTTTTTCCAGATCCCACTCTGTGCCCTTTCCAGCAAAGCTTTCGAAAACCTGTCTCCCTTACTTGGAGCGTGTGCTTCTGCAACCACTAAACATCTTTCAGTCTGTCATTAATCAATCTGTTTTCTTATTCATACCTGATGACACTTACAAGAACTTTGTGCTTAATTAGCACACACTTAGAGTAAAAAAATATTGTACATTGCAATAGAAAACTGCAGTTCTCTCTTAAGCAGTAGTTCTGCCATCATGTGGCAGAGATGATTTAAATACCATTTAAAGATAAAACAACTGCAACTTATGTGTTGTAAACATCTTACTATTTAAGTGATCCTGAAGCATTGCCATTTCTCTGCACTGCTGCTTTTGGTCACAGTGTTGACATGTTATGGTATTGTATCATGTAGCTCTTCCTGTGCTGCTTCCACTTGTTCTTCTCTCTCTGCTGCTCCCTCCCCCAGTCCAGAACGTATTCATAAAGTTGAGTACCCAAATGTGAACGGGTGAAAATCACTGCCTAGCGCTGGGCTTCTTACAGCATGGAAAGTGAGCTCAGGCATGCCCGTTCTTCTCCTCCTCCCTTTTCTTTCTTTCTCTCTAGCCCCTGTAGTCTTCTCCCTGCCCCCAATTGTCGCTGGATCCTGAAACAGCCACGTTTGCTTGTGGACCCGACCCAGTCTGCTGCCGCCGCCGCCTTATGAATGGCCTGTGGTTGGGTGGTGGGACTGACTGAGGTAATTTGCTCATTGCCATACTGCAGCCTTTGCTGCTGTTTTGTTATTTGCTTTGAATTCACTGTTGGCTTTCTGAGATTCTGTGGAGTTGCATGTCAGCTAATTCAGCATGATAGGAATAGCACTAAGATGATGTCGGAGTTACAAGTAGAATATATTAAGCATTTGCTTGTATAGGAAGTTTATTGAAGCCAGCATGATGACAGAGCTGTTGAGGCTTGGACCTAAGAAAACTGAGGAGGCATTTGAGTACATCTGAGAATAAATGTTATCCTTATCCTTTAAAACATGTTTGAATTAACGGATGGTAGCTGAGACATCATGAACTTGCTTTTTAGACCTCATTGTGAAAAAAGTAAAGTTGGGCATTTGCTTTGCTCTTAACCCAAGGAGAATTGATACCTGCCATTAGCTCAACACTAATGTACCACTTTCTTACATTCTAAATAATTATCTTGATGAATTCATGTTAACTGAATGTTGCTGAAATCTCATCTGAATAGGGCTTCTCCACAGAATTAACTATGGCTATATATACATACACACTTCATAAACATTCATGAACATCTATAGGCACAGCTGCTATACACTATCAGCAAAGAATTTTTTCTGTTCTCAAAATAAGGCAGGCAAAGAGATGATAAATGTGGCTGGATCTAGACGACCATAACAGTGCTGTGTTAGAATATGGAAAGCAGTTCCTCCTTTTATGGCTTAAACATGGGTTCTAAATCAAAACTACCTGTACATTTGTGAAGCCAAATTCATTTCTGACTTCCAGTGATGTTTTGGACAAAAAGTGTACTTTTTAAACTACTCTTCCATCTCTCCCACGTGTTTAGGTCAGATTCCCTACATACATCATGGGTAATTGTACCTGGTTTGGTGTGATGAGCTTGCCTTCATGCTTGGAGACTATTGTTTATGTGTATTGCCCCTAATGGATATGGAACTAGCATTATTAATCTAGTAGCCTCTCTTTGAATTACATTTTCTAATAAGATTTATGAGTTTCATGTAACAAGTTGCACTTTTCTCTTAATCCTTTCTGTGCATGTTACTTGAATGGAACAAATGGTACATATTGGGATTGAACTGTAAGTTATATGAAAATTTGGGAGGCATAAAAACCCTGCTTTTCTGCTTCTTTTCTTCAAAAGGGAAAGTGGAAATTCTGGTGCAAAATAAATGCTTCTAATCAACTCTGAACTTTAAAAATGCGCTTCATATAAATTGGTGCTTAAACTTGACAAATGCCATATAAATTTTTATGAAGAATTCAGGCAATTGCTACACATATATCATGAACTGAACAGTGAACTGCCGATTTACTAGTTTTTGAATATAGCCTGGTTTTCTCTCCTGCCCCCTTGATAAATTAAGAGAAAAAGAATTTAAAACAGAAACTGAGGATTTTATTATAAAATATATTTTATTACTTGAACTGAAACCATTTATTTTATACAATCAGCACTACCAAGAAATATTCCAAAAAATCCAGCACCATGAAGTAATTGTAGAGTGACTGAAAACTGAGCATACCAGAAGGAATGATCCCTTTTTTCAAGCTGATTCAAAATTATCTTCAAACAACAATATCAGCTGAAGGCCCAGCCATAAATATGGATATTATTTTATAGCAGCATTGAACTGTTTAGTCACTATCATTTTAGTCACTTACTCAATTTAGGCCCAACCCAACTTCAGACTGACTCTAGGCAACTTGCAATAAAATCAAATAGGCGGAAAGCACAAGATAAATAGAGCTACTGTATAAAGAAAAATAAATAAAGAACAAGATAGCAAGTCCAGCCAACAACACCCACACATACAAACATCTGACAGGGCCTCAGCCACCCTAACCCAAGGCCTGGGAGAACAGCTAGGTCTTTAAGGCTTTCTGGAATGCCATCAGTGTGGGAGCCACACAGATCTCCAGGAAAATTTCATTTCAGAGGGCAGGCGCTGCAACAGAGAAGGCACACTTCCTGGGTCCCAATATGCAACACTGTTTAATTGAAGGGACTGGAGTGCACCAACTTTGTCGGCTCTCGCTGGCCAGGAAGACACCACAAAATATACAGTGGGGCAAAAAAGTATTTAGTCAACCACCAATTGTGCAGGTTCTCCCACTTAAAAAGATGAGGCCTGTAATTTTCA